CATCTTCATTTCTGCTACTTTCAGTTCTGTCTCCTGTCTTTTTGTCCATGTTTCTGTCTCCAGACCATACAACATAGCTGGTCTCACCACTGTCTTGTAAACATTTCCTTTGACCTTTGCTGACACACTTTTGTGACAAATCACTCCTGAAACTTTTCTCCATCCTGCATGGACTCTCTTTTTCACCTCTTTACCACACTCTCTATTTTCCTGGACAGTGGACCCTAACATGACTATGAGTTTTGATTATACGTCAAATGGCAGACTAAAGAGACTCGGACACAAAGTACAAAAGGTGTTTATTTATTTACAGTGCAGGAGCGGGCAGGTGAATGAATGTCTGCAGGAGGAAGAAGGAGACAGGATGAGTATCTGGGGACCAGTTGGCAATTTTTGTAGTTTTGCAGATGCTGTTTGTCTTATTGAGTATTTGTTTTGCAGGCAATGACGAAGAGGAGGAAACCAGGAGTCTGAGGATGAAGATCCAGGAAGGTGAGTATCTGGTGAATGGTGTTGGTTCGTGGTAGATGAATCCAGAGTGGTTTGTTGAGCTGAGTTGGGTGTGCAGGATTGGCGAGCAGATGCAGCCAGGGAGCCAGGACGAAATCGAGCAGGCAGGACGAGCAGGAGTGGGACTGATGGACAGAAGAAGAACCAGGTTAGTCAAACAAAGTCCCTTTAGGATTACAGGCCATTGCAGAATTTACCAAAGGCAATTAATGCTCCAGTGTGAACATCTCGCCGAGATTTAAATAGGGCAGGAGGTGCAGCTCTGAGAGGTGCAGGTGTGGCTGATCAGGTGATTAGAGCTGTGGAGGAAGGTGGTTACAGGAGGCACAAGAGGAAATCCCACAGACCCCGAGTACTTGAAGACCTGCACCTTTGTGACATCTGCTCCTTGTAGCCTCAATGTTCCACCAGTGTCCCTCTCATTCACACACACATACTCTGTCTTACTACGGCTGACTTTCATTCCTCTTCTTTCAAGTGCATACCTCCACCTCTCCAAGTTCTCTTCCACCTGTTATCCGCTCTCATCACAGATCACAATATAATCTGCAAGCTTCCATCTTTCACTGGAGTGGTTTGCAGCTGAGTGTGAAGCAGCTGGGATGAAAATCAGTACCTTCAAATCTGTGGCCATGGTCCTGAGTTGAAAAAGTGTGGATTGCTTTCAAGCGTTGAGGGTGAGGTTTTGCCCCAAGTGGAGGAGTTCAAGTATCTCGGGATTTTGTTCATGAGTGAGGGAAGAATGGAGTGTGAGATTGACAGACAGATAGGTGCAGTATCTGCAGTACTGTGGACTCTGTGCCAATTCATTGTGGTGAAGAGAGAACTGAGCTGTAAGGCAAAGCTCTCTGTTTATCGGTCAGTCAACGTTCCTACCCTCATCTATGGCCACAAACTCTGGGTTGTGATCAAAAAAACGAGACTGTGGTGCAGTTGAAATGAGTTTCCTCCACAGAGAAGCTGGACTCTCCCTTAGAGATAGAGTGAGAAGTTTAGGTATCCAGGAGACTCGGAGTAGAACCACTGCTCCTCTACATCGAGAGGAGCCAGTTGAGGTGGTTCAGGCATCTGGAAAGGATGCTTCCTGGGTGCCTCCTTAGGGAGGTGCTCTGGGTATGTACGGCTGGGAGGGGAACCCGAGGAAGACCCAGGACACGCTGGAGGGACTATAAGTCTCTCAGTTGGCCTGGGAACACCTTGGAGTCCTCCCAGAAGAGCTGGAAGAGGTGGCTGTGGAAAGAGATGTCTGGGCCTTCCTGTTCAAGATGCTGCCTCCAACTTTAGAACAAGCAGAAGGTAATGGATGGATGGATGGATGGATGGATGGATGGATATATCTGACTAGTCTTCAACAGTCACAGCCTAGTGAGAAACCTCCTTAAAGAATAAGTTTGTTTCCTGACTTGTTACAAAAATTTTTATGACTATTAACTGCAGTGTTTGTGCAGATTCCTGATAAATCCATGAGTTTATGATATGAACTGTATTAGTTTATTTATATTAGTTATACAGTTACATCTTGTAAACACACAGTTGTGGATCACCATGCAAGATAAAATCAAACATACCTTCCAATTTTTAAAGGAGAAAATTTTTTTGTTGTTGATAAAACCTTCGATTACTCTTTTGTTTTTGCAAAAAGAAACTGGAACGCAGAGGGGAAATACCCAGTTTAGGAGAAATCATGCACAAATGATTGGGTTTTGACAGTTTGTGTTTTCCACTTTTTGCATTAAAAATTGTAAAAAAATAAATAAACAAGTCAAGCTTGTAGAGCAAAGATCACACCGCCAATGTCAAATTTAACCATATCTTTGTTGATTTTTGATGGAAAACACTTTTTTTTGCTTCATTTTATACTAGAGTTTTAGCTTTTGTTTGTTTTAGTTACACATTTTGAATAAGTATGTTGTCAAATCTGAAGCAATCTTAAAAAAAAAAACATTTTTTTTACTTCAAACCTTCTTATCTGTTTGTACTTTAGATAATTATTTTAAAAAGTGTCTCTTTTTTGTCAAATAATTAGTATATTCTCATCTGTTTTCTCCCTTTTCTTCTCAAAAAAGTGTTTGTTTAATGTTGTTTGATTGAAGGTTTAAAACTTAAAGCCTCAACCTGATTTTTTTTGCACTTTACATATCAGCATCATCCATCCCTCATGCTCAGAAACCCTCATTTAATTTCACCTCCACAATAACAAGGGTGACTCATCACTGCAAGGCAAATATGCCAATAATGTGCGCTACCAGCAGGGTGTGTAAATTCCACACCTGTCCCATCATCCTCCACTCAGCCTCCTCCTCCTCCTCTTATGTGCCTTCTCTGTTTTCACACATGCTCCTTTCCTCATTTACCCACACACCTCACAGCGAGCAGCTCGAGGAGCAGAAAGCAGCGTCGTCTTGCTGGGAACATGCAACAGCGAGTAAAAGAAGCAGCAGAAGGTGATCAGAGGTTTGGAAACCCACATCTGTCTCGTCCAGGTAAGCTGAGATGCACAGGTACTTTAAAGTCACTTGTTTTTATATCTTTATCGTGTAGATCTTAATGCAAAATTATTCAAAACAACAGCATTGCTTTTTAAAGTAATTTTTTGTATAAATTATTTTTGACTGTGCTGCTCTTCGTGTCCCTTCCCATAATTACTGTTTAATGTTGACTCGTGCTTCCTGAAGAGACTCAACCTGAACAGAACAAAATCTGAGGAAGATGAACAGCATCACGTGTAAAGAAGGTAGCAGATCGCTTTGATGTCCTTTTTTTGTTAAACCTAGCATGGATCATTACACTTTTTTTTTTTTTTTTTTGACAGGAGCAGAAAGAGGAGGAGATGATGGTATATAACAAAGGCTGCAGCTGCCTTTTCTTCTTCTTCTCTTAAAGCAGGGTGAAAAATGACATAATGGCATTCATGCTCAGGTGACCTCACTTGAACACTGATACTCTTGAAATTAATCTGACTGTTTAGTCTTTTTAAGATGTGTGCCAAGACGAGAGCAATAAATCCAGTTTTAATCAGTGTAAAAGCAATTTTTTGTTAAATTCGACTTTTAATTTAGCTCATTCAAACTTCTATTCATGCACACTTTTCCTATTTGTTCAAAGCACATTTAGAGTTACTGATCAGCAGAAAAACACAAAATTAACTTCACAATGTACAAGTTTACTGGCTTCGAATCAAAGCAGCGCGAGCATGAGACTGACTTGTCTTCCACTGAGCGGTTCAGTCACGACGCCGCTCTCGGAGCGAACTAACAGCTTATTCTGGAAACTGAGCTCAGGTCCTCGGGCTCAGACAAACTATATGAGCAGGAACAACAAAGGCCCAGCCTGCGTGCAGACGAGAAATGGGAGTGAAGCGTCCAGCGTGTGAAAGGAGAAAGCTGATACCTGCGTCTGAGGTCTGTAATTACACATTCTTGTGTGTGAACTCAACAGGCTTTCTAGGATGGGGCTACAGAAAAATCCACCTTCAGCCTTGTTATCGCCCGCTGCGGAATGTGAGAGGGTGATAATGTTTTTGTCTCTTTGTGCAGCTGTGTTAGTGAAACAACTCATGAACATCTGGACAGATTTGAATGAAACAGTCACTGGATGTACATCTACATCGGATTACCTTTTTTTTTTTGAGTCAGCTCAGTCCAAGATGGCTGCCACAGCTAATCTACTAACACAAACACAACTGTGACTCACAATTTTACAAACGGGGAGCTAAAATTTGTTTCTCTGTTAGCAAAATAGCTCATGAACCGTTGAATAAACTCTAATGAAACTCGTAATTATTCTGTGCATCTCTACAACGCATTACCTTTTGGACTCATCCCAATTTAAGATGGCGGCCATCTTGAACTTTAGCCAACACATAAATGGCTACAGCTCAGTCAATTTTACAGATACTGAGCTAAAGTTTGGTGCAGTAGTAGCTGAGAGTCATCCTCAACACATACTAACAGATCTCGCAGGATCTTGCGACGAGATTGTGCATAACTTCATTTACCGTATTTTTTGGACTATAAGGCGCATTAAGCGAAACTAAACAGATAAGTCAAACTGTGTTCAACTCATTCACAATAACCAAATAAAATCGGTTTGAGGTCAGTAAGCACAACCATAATTAATACATAAGGTGCACCGGATTATAAGGCTCACTGTCGATTTTTGAGGAAATTAAAGGATTTTAAGTGTGCCTTATATTACGAAAAACACAGTCCAAGGTTTGACCTAAAATGGCTGTAACTCCGAACCATCATGAGATGCTCTTGGCTTGAAAACAAGTTTGACATGAAAGGTGATGGGTGCATTCCTTTAAGGAACATTAGGTCTGTAACTTAATGTTATTTTGTTTCTTTAATGTTCTTTAAACACAGAATATTGATCAGGGTGAGCAGTAAATCAGCTTCAAGATGTTACTGAAGTAACCTACTTGGTTGTGTTTAAAGTTCCTTACTGCTTTAACTTAACTGAATGCTTTTATAATAACAGATGGTCAATTTATGAAGCCTTTTGTTGTTGTTATTGGGCTATAAATATAACAGTTTAATAAGTATACACATTACAATCTGCTAGATTAAAAAAGATAATTGCCAGTGATTTAGTGATTTAGCCCTGAGGCTCAGGGCACACATTCTTAATAAGGAATACTAAAGGCTCATCGTTGTTCTTCATCTTTTCTTTGTAAAAGTAACATTTGTGCACACCTGCCTTCCCTTTAATCATCTCAGAACGCTCAATTGTGGCAAAGTTAATGATTTAAATCAAACTACATCGCCTGCTGCCTTGCGTGTCAAAGTTGTCGTCAAAGATCTCATGTGATCCCTTCGAGTGTGTGTTTAGAATGACTCCCCCGCTACTGCCACACCAAGTTTTAGCTCAATATTTGTAAAGTTGATGGAGGTAGCCATTTTTATGTTAGCTGAATCACTTTGACTCCAAAATTAAACACTTGTAGATCCCCCTCCAATGATTGCTTTCTGAGTTTAATAAAAAATTGTCCACTGGTTTATGAGATATTTTGCAAACAATCAAAGAAGAAGAGATATTTACAGATATTGTCTGCCTTCGTGGCAGCAGATGACTTATTAATCATCCAACCAATCAAATAATCTTCTGTTCATTTGTATGGATGTTATTGGTACTCCTGAGATGTTTAAACATTTATAAACTAGTAGAAATCTATTTTATATATGGTTTAATTATATGAGTTGGAGCCTTTCAGGTTAATTTAGCTGTTGCCTCTTTATAAAATATCATAAAAGATGGATTTTATGTTTTATTTGCACATTATTGTGCTTATGATTTTAGTTAAGACTGAATATGCACTTTGTCACTGTCTTTAAGGAGTTGTGCATTAAAATTTGTTAAATTGTGATGTCATTCTTTAGACAGCCACTCCTAATATGACATTTTTGTGGCCAGTGTAATTTATTTAACCATTCTCTTTTCTTGTGAGCTAATAACTTCTGTTTCTTTGCCTGCAGTAAGCTTGGACTGCTCGACCTGCAGACTTTATTACTTCTACAAGACAGAGCGTGGTTTCCTCATCAAACAACAAGAATTTCCACAAAAAAAAAATATATAATAATTCTCACAAAACGAGACACGGCAGCGCTCTCAGAGTGACTTTTCTTAAGATGCAGGACTTAGCTCATTGGTGAGCATTGATCCAAGCAGGAATTGTTCACAGTGGCTAAGTTCAGTGTCTGACATGAAAGAATGAGCTCCTGCATACCTGAAGGTCCTGGCTGCCCATAAAAATAAAATAAAATTTAAAAAAAGTGCAGAGATTTGAGGGCGGAGGGAGCCATGGCGCGAAAAGACAGATGCACTGGAAAGCGATGTGGAATGCTGGAAAAGTCTTTGCATGTCCAGACAAACTTTTAAGACGTCAGCTTCTTTTGATTTATCACAAAGAAGAAAACGAAGACAAAGTTAATGATGGGCGCCAAAAGGTCACGTCAGGTTGATTTGTGAGCTTCAGTTTTTATTTTTTCCCCCCACTTCTCCACGTACATTTGTATGACATCATCTCTGAAGTAAGCCAAAAAAGTTGGAGGACAGGGATGATGCAAGTCATTAAAATGTCATTCTTGCTTCAAATCCAGTCATTCTTTGCCTTGCAGAGTTGAAAATAGGAGCTCAATTATCCTGAGCCGGCGAGGAGTTCCTCAGGTTGTGTACTCGTGTGCCTACTGAACTGGATTCAGTGTGTCTTTGCAGAACTGGCTCAGTCCAGCAGGAACAAGTGTGACACCTAATAAAGCATCATCAGCATGAAGGAGAAACACTTCATCATCGTTCCCATGAAAGAGAACCAGAAACATTTTTATCACTCAGGGAGCCATGACATGAAGGGATGATGTGTGGCCTAATTTGTCCTCCATGTGTGGGTGAACCTGGCTGCCTCTGCAGGTAGTCGTTAGCAGCAGCAGCAGCTGATTTGTGCTGAGTAAAACTTTGCATTGCCTCCCTTCATTCGTCACGCCGTAATAAGCTGTCAGTGTGTCTGCAGGCGTCTTCACTAAATTGGACTGCAACAGCTCGACGCCTCTGCAGTCATTATATACCTGAATGGACCTGTTAACTGCATTAGCATAAGCAAGAGTGGTCATCATAAGACATGCTATTGATTTTAGATAACCTGAGTTCTGGAGGTGCTAGGCGAACAATTACCTCTCACCTTGGGCCGACGTCCTGTGGCGTCCTTACAGAGATCTGCAGAAAGTTGCAAACTTGGTTCTAACCTGGTTTTTTTTTATAAGCATATATCTCAAACTGTTTAATCAACTTTAAAATCAACTAAACTAACAGAAGTTTACACAACAGAATGCATAAATAATGATTTTTAAATTTGGTATTTTAAGGCAGCTCTTTCACTTGTATTTCGTGTAATAAAGCGATGCAACAAGAGAACATATATATATACAGTAAATATATGGTGCTAGATGCAACTTGAAGGCAAATTTCATATTTTCTTTCACTCTCTGTTGAGCTGACCTGTTTGTGACGAATGCACTGAGCTTTACAGAGAAGCAAAATTAAAATTAATTTCATAGTGATGTGAATCTGTCATCTTTGTCAACTCATTAAGACTTTATTACTGAATTATAAGGCACAACTTTTATTTATTCATTCATTTAAAAGAAAATAAACAAAACAAATTCATCAAAAAGAAAAAAACATTGAATGAAAATGGTGCAGAAATAAGAAGAAAATTCTTATAATATCTGCCCCTTATTTAAAAAAATATAAAATAATATAATTTTTTTATAATTTCAACTGATGAAATAATATATTTGTTGGGTGACCATAGCACTTCCTACTAATAATTCTTAAAGCTCTTTTTTGTCAAATGAAAATAGAGTTTGTTATTGTTTTGCATGCTTTTCTCCAAACGTCAGTACAATAGATTAAATCTG